ACCGAATAGCTCGACCGTAATGATAAACAGAAAACAGGAGATAGGCAATGAGTGAATGAGGATACCGGGGGCCCACACCTCCCCTCCCTAATTCTGGAAGGAGGGAGGCAATCTAAGGCGTATCTCTTGTGTCTCTGGAGTAGCATGTGCTCATGGGCGGCGGTAGTCACTTACTATCAAGTGTCACAGTCAAAAGTCACACATCAAGTCATATTTTAGGTCAAATATATTTTATAGCTTCGTTTTTATTACTGTTTAATCTTTTTATTAACACCTTAGTGTTAGAAAGGTGGAGTTCCCTCGCATTCTAACACCTAATTGGTAGTCGTTACTTTTAAAATATATATTGTGTTTGTAGATTATATCTAAAATTTAATTTAATTAACATTACACAAAATTTAACATACACACAGGTTAATTATTTATGAAATAAGTAATCAAGTTGTATTTTCAGGAAGTGTTTGATAAAGGCGTCCCACTGCGCGATGCTATTGTGCAAGTGTGGAAATCTGAGAATTACAAGACATTAGTTAAAGTAAGTAACTATCCACAGAAAATAATAATTTAATATTTGTAAACTACTGCCGTTTGAAACTATAATTTATTGAGAAGGCCTTGTCGCAGATAACTTAAATATTTCAAACTCAAACATAAATAATTATTATTATTTATACTTCTTTCGTTATCCATAGATCCTAAAGGCGGGTCATAAGCTTATTTACTCTGCATCATGGTACCTAGATCAACTCCAAAATGGTGGAGACTGGATCCATTACTACAAAGTAGATCCACGCCAAATGATACCTTCATCCCAAACTAAATTGAACTTAGATGACATTGTCGGGGGCGAAGCGTGCATGTGGGGAGAAGTTGTCGATGACAGGAATATACAAAGCAGGTAACTTTAATCCTCATTTTATCATTTCATTATTATTACTGTGACTGAACGGATGGTGTAGTGGTTTAAGCGATCACTACGAAGCCTCCTACGGTGCTGAGTATTGTGGGTTTGATCCCCACATATGACATTACCTTGTGTGATCCTTGTGTGATCTAAATAACAATAAGGCACCGGGAGTAGATGGTATCAGGACTATTGACATTAAGAAAATATCCAAGAGCATAATTTCGGTATTGTGTAACTTAATAAACCTTTCTATAGAAACTGGTAAATATCCTTCCACGTTGAAAACAGGCATTATAAGGCCCATACATAAAAAAGGCAGTCAAACTGACTATGATAATTACAGACCAATAACTATACTACCAACCATAGATAAAATAGTTGAAAAATACATTTGCAAACAAGTCTATGACTTCTATGATATTAATAATATACTGTCATCAAAACAATATGGCTTTCAGCCTCATAAAAATACAGCACAACTACTGTCAGCTTTCACAGATAGTATATACAACCACCTAGACAAAAAACATCACGTATTGGTCGTATTTATAGACTACAGCAAAGCATTTGACACGCTCAAGCATGACAGGTTAATAGAATGTCTCTCTGAGAGTGGTATTAGAGGCAACCTGCTAGAGTGGTGTAGGGACTACTTTTGTGATAGGAAGCTTATGGTCAAAGTTGGTGACGCGCTTAGTGAAAAAATCACAGTGAAGGAAGGTACAGCTCAAGGCTCTGTTCTTGGACCCTTACATTACCTCACCTACGTAAATAATCTGGAAAGCCTGATAAAAAACTGCGAAATGTACCAGTTTGCAGACGACACTTGCCTAATCTCTGCGGGAACTAATATCATCGAAGCACAAAATTGGCTACAAAGCGACTTCAACCTCCTTTTAAAATGGTCGCATGATGCTGGACTTGTATTCAATATTAAAAAGACCAAAGTGATGTATATTAGTTCCAGCCAAAACAGAAGTATTTGGGCACCTAAACTTATAGCACACTGTCATGATTGTCTACATAAGACTAATTACGTTAATTTGACTATTCCTTGTAATTGTGACACCATAGAAAACGTTGAGAAACAAACCTATCTCGGACTAATTATCGACAACCGCCTAAATTGGAAGCAACACATAAATCAAGTCTGCAATAAACTAAGAACTATTCTCGCCAAATTCTCATTAATCAAGCATAACATACCATACAAAACACTCCTCCTACTTTATAAATCTTTGGCAGACTCAATAATCTCGTATGGCCTTTCGAGCTACGGCAGGACTTACAAGAGCCACCTTGACCAAATATATGTACTTCAACTTAAAATTTTAAAAGAGATTGTACCACAAAACATAAAAAATAAATTTAAGCACGATTACGAACAACTATTTGATTTCTGCAAAATTATTCCTATACATCAGAAGGTAAAACTAACGTTACTAACCGAGGAGTACTTTAACGTAGATCTTCAAAAATACAAAGCCCGTGATACACATGGTATGAAGACCCGTAGCGTCAATAATGCAAAATTATTACTACCACGATTTACAAATCTGTACGGGAAAAGAACTCTAAAATGCATGGTACCACTCTTAGTAAATGAGCTTCCGAAATCAATAAAGACTTCATTAACAAAAGTAAACATAAAAATAAAATTGAAACAACACTTTTTACAAAATTAAATCGACCATTTGTCATACCCTGGAACAACCTGTATAGTGTAGTAAAATATTACAAATGTATCCACGATATAATGTTGTTGAATTCATCACTGATGCGCGGTCGATGTGACCATTGCGCACTGCGTACACATTTTTGTATACTACCCTCACTTAATTATTGTGATGCTTTATGTATTGGTGCTTTTATTCTAAGTGTATTTGCATTTTGTGATATTTTGTAACAATGTAAGTAACATATGACGAAATTGATGTACGGTAAAACTCGAAGGAGTTTATGTTGCATCTCTATGTACATGATTTGTATTTGTATCAGCTATTCAAATAAATAAATAAAATAAAAAATAAAATAAAATCCACAAATTGTCTTTCTGAGTCTTTGTATTCTTTCATGTCTCTTCGTAAAGTCTCCCGTCTACCGCGACCCAAGATGTAATGCTAATGCAGGTGTCTTTAAAAAAAAAACTCTCGACTTTCCCATGGACAAAAATATATAATTACATAAATAAACCTTTCACGGTTATACGTTACATTTTAAAGCTTTGTTTAAATTAGTTTTGTCATAAAATTTATAGGCGGATTTTTTTTTATTAAAAAGACAACTCCCGCATTAGGAATATATCCTGTGTCGCGGGGGGACTTTACAAACATACAAGAAACGGACACAAAGAACACCCAGACTTAGAACAACAATTTGCGCAGTAGGAAGCGGCGTGGCGACCGCTTAAACCACTGCGCCATCCGTGCAGTCAGAATTGTATATTATTCACAAAGGCGGCAACGCCCTTGTGACTTTTGAGTTGCAGGTATCCATGGACGGCGGTAGTTGCTTACCATCAGGTGACCCGTCTGCTCGTTTTGCCCCCTTATACCATAGAAAAAATAGAAAGCTCGGTTACAGTTTTAAACATTTTGCCAGTTTTTGCCCCTGTCCTTGTGGTGTCACGCATCAAAAAAAAAACATCCGTATATTGCACCCGTGTAGTAACGGGTAAGCGACTCCGGCCCCTCCGGGCTTAGTCTCATTTCCCCAGCCAATACTTAAAGTCCCATTACTTAAAGTCATTCGCTCCCTCGCCCTCGCCCTATCTTTTTTTTAACCCTATTTTTCCTACTTCTTACCTGATATCTATTATATTCCGAAGAAGGTTCCCAAAGCGTAATCCTGGACAAAAAACTGGCCAAACCTATTGTAATGTTAAATAATTACGTTACAGTTAATAAGAACTACATCTAGAAGTATTTTATCAAATGTGCACTATGTTCAAATATAGAGTATGGCCCCGCACTAGCGCTGTAGCAGAGAAGCTGTGGAGTCCTGAACTACCCTACGACAGACAAGATCACTACTCTCACAATCCGCCGCAGGATGTGTTCCACCGCCTTGAGGAACATTCTTGCCGCATGAACCGTCGCGGTGTCTACGCTCAGCCTCCTAACGGACCAGGCTTCTGCGTCACCGAATAAACATATGTTATAGTCAACTATACAGGAATTTAACAATTGTTTGAATTCATAAGTCTAATTACGTTCAGAATAAAATGATAACTTATTATTATTAAATTTATCAATCTTTAATTTTTGAAAGCTCAGCACAATAAAAGAAAAGAATATAGTTTTGCGTGCAATGGGAGAGGTCTATGTCTAGCAGTGGACTGCGATAGGCTGATGATGATGATGATGATTTAGTTTATAAAGTATTTTTTCTTTAATGCACCTGAATCATGATATATTTCATTTCTTAAAGACGAGATATTTTCACTTAAATTTAAATGTGACTGACCTTGAGTAAAACCAATTTAATTAGAGAAAATTTATTGACATTGGTATAAAATACACTTAAATAAAGTACGCTTCATAAAAATACTCTTTTTGTATGTAATAGCGTAAGCATTCATGTGGATACGGATTAAGAATAGGCAGTGTCACATCCCTTTTTCATGCCGTGGGTGTCATAAGATCCGACTAAGGAAGAGTCGGGGTCTAAGGAGAGGCCTATGTCCAGCAATGGAGTATTAAAGGCTGTTGATGTGATGATGATGAATAGCGTAATAGCTTGTTCTGTAATCTCTTTCAGCCTCGTCAATGGAAAACCAGATGTAATGGCTATGTTCCCTAACAAGTCTTCTATTTTTTTTTGTCCATGCTAGCTCTAGTAGTAAGTATCGGTTTTTAAGTCTACTTGAACCGTCACTAAAGCCAAAGACAATTATGATATTTGAAAGGAAACCCCTATTTAATTGTCTATGGTATGCGTATTGGGTCGATTATGTCATGGCGGGTTAGATGTTTTCGGCAGTTGATTTTTAATGAATTTGTTCTAAACTACGCCGTCAATGATCTCGTTTCAATCGCTATCGTTTATAAATAAGCTTATTTGTATAATAGTGATCTTTTTATAAACAATTCAAATGCTGAAACGGTTGCAAATGGGCCTTCGCGCGTTCATGCTGCTCGCATCAAAAGTATGGAGTTGTTTTTGTTATATGTTTAAGAAGCAATATCGAGCGGTAAATATAAATAATACTGTATGCGTAACTGTTTAATCATAAGTTTTTACGCGTACAAGAAAATTCACGTGGCATTTGGTTTTCAGTTGGCTCAATATCAATCCGTCAAATATGAGATGTATCCACTTTCGCCAGTATCTAGACACAGGCTGAGTGAGTATCATTTATCTAGTTTTTTATCGATAACGTTTTTCAGATTATGTATAATGATTTGCGACTGTATCCTTTATAATTTATATGTAAATATTATCATTATATATGCATACACTTGCTTATTTTTCGTAATATTGAAATGTAAACAATGTGTAGAAGTTTGAAATTATCATGAATATATACTGGTTCTATGATCATCATAAGGATCTAGCTGTCTAGCAGATACATACAAGAATATATCTAACTAAAGTTCCAATTAGACCTTACAAAGTACTTTAATTTTGTACACATCTATTGAATTCTTAAGTATTTACAAGTCATTAATTAGGACATAGTTTAATCTACTTATGATCATAAATAATGTCTGAATTATACCCATATCGATAAATATACATCATCATTTCATACAAAAAAGGGTGTGATAGGTTATATCAGGTATGTAAAGTTGACTATCTCACAATGTTTGAGGTCCGTAGCACTCCAAGCTCCTCTAAGGTGTTCTAATAACTTGTCAGAACTCACTCTTAGTTAAATAAGAGTCCTTATACTATTCAAGCTCAATATATTTGATTTGCAATCTGCAAACAAACTATGAAAAGTGTTAATGCTCGACCAATACTATTACCGTGATTCTAAAGCATAGGTTATATATTTTTCACAACTTTCTTTTAAATGGTGACCACAATAAAAATTATAACAGTCTGGTTAAAAAAGTTACAATTAAAATGGCTCACATCATCATCACATCAACAGCCTTTAATACTCCACTGCTGGACATAGGCCTCTCCTTATAAAGGAGATTTTGGCCTACTATACCACGCTGGCCAGACGGGTTGGTATAGGTTTTGTTTCAAGTTTTAATTCAAGTTTAAAATGGCTAAAAATATAAAAATGAGGGGAGAGAGTTTGACATACATACAATATTATATTAATACCTGAAGGAACAGAGCTGTATCGTGTATTTTGCCCACTATTGCCATATTTTGCAAACCTTACTACACAGTTTGCAATTGCTTATGAGAATGGATCAGAGGGCCAATTCTCGTAATAAAAGTTCTGATCAACTTGCGATCTCACAACTCAATCTTTCATTAAAGGTATTTAGTTAGTAAAGTATTAAACATCCAATGTTGACTGTAATGTGATACATATTGTAACTGAAAATTAAATCAGTAGTCTATTTACTTCTACTACTCTATTTACTACTACTAATATTACTATTATATTACAAAAATAATAAAATATCCTATCAGCCATATTTTTTTTGTGTGGAAAGACCGATACTTGCTTACTATCCAAAATGTGGCAGAAAAAAACCTTTGAAACAGGATAGTGACCTGATTTCCACTAATGTAAAACATACACTTTTATGTGGAGTTGCAGGCAACTGCACATATAACCATTAACCAAGGCCTCAATTTTACTATTTTGTAACTATGTTAATGTACAAACCACTGTTATTCTATTAACACACTACTGTGATGCCATTAACGTTGATCAAAATATCAGTATTCTACTAACATGACTTTACTGTGTCAATAGACTGTGGATGTAGTGACAATAGCTCATCAGTGGTGATATTAACAGTTTATTATGGAATATATCATTTTCTTACAAATTTAAAATGTATCATTTGCTAAACTTACAAAGAAATCAATGATATTTGTATCCGTGGTAAGTCATCGGAAGGCCATTGGTCTTACATATTTAGTAGAATACGAAAAGAGCAAAACTATTGTGATGACATACCATCAACAAATTGCAGAATTGAGGTCCAGGTTAGGTTAAGTTTACAATGGCAGTTTCCAGTGGCTGAATAGCCAGAAACAACATTTCTATGGAGTACTAAAGTACCATGTCTGATAAAAACTGCAAGTTCAAAAAGTTTAGTTCTATCAGTCATTACTATAAAACATGTAACAACTTCAACTATTTAGTCTTAACACTATCAGTGCATTGAACAAGAATCTGAATAAACTGTAGTTGACTGGTAGGAGAACCGGAAAGGTCTCCAAACACTTCCCAGCTAGAAACTATTTCATGTTTCAGTTGTTCCGGTTGAATGCAGATTATATATCTCACTTTAGCCTATGTGCAGTTTTATTTCGAATTAATCTACATTTCCCTAATCTGTTCCAATTGGAATGGTTTTCTACATATGACAACTGTTTCACTTCATCATCATCATCAGCCTATCGCAGTCCACTGTTGGAATGAGACATTTTCACTTGACCTGACATAGCTTTACCAAACATTGGTGAGTATTATTTTTTACGTGTGGATACCCCCTCGGGCCGTTACCCCACCGGGATACGCGGCGGGACATTGTGTCAGTATAGAACCGACCAAAACCATGATGCCATTCTGTGCCTGAAATAGGAGGGGTCCGAGAATAACTTTAATTAAGACATCCGAACCTCTCCTAGCGTCGAGCGCGGACATCGCCTCCTCTGCCGCCGTTATGGCGGGTAGAGGGGAAAACACTTCCACCCGCGACCACACCGCGATCTAGTGAGCATATACCGCAACCATTAGTTAATTTGTTTCTTTTTGGGTACAAGTTGTATTGGAACTTGGAAACATATTTTTAATCTTTGGCTAATTTTATTCTTTATCTTTACTGATAGTGAGTGGCTTCTGTTACCGATAAATATTGGTTTTTAAACAAAAGTACCTAATCCCGAACAAATCTATCGTTTTGCGATTAATAGATTTGTTACCACCGGCCTTCTGAATCACATAATGACATAAAGAAATGTATAACTTAGTTTTCTACTAATTTAAATGCGAAAGATTGCATTGAAAAATGTCTGTTAGTCATCAACAGCTTTTAATAGTCCACTGCTGGACATAGGCCTCTCTTTAGAAAGAAGGTTTTGGTCTACTATACCACGCTGGCCAGACCGGTTGTTTCAAGTTTTCCTTCTTTTTTCTGTGCTGTAGTCCTGCCTGCGTAGTTTGCTCCCTTAGTCTTCTCTTACGACACCCACGAGATGAATAGGGGTTGTGACACTCCGTATTCTTAATCCGCCACCACACAGATCTTTTTTGTTACACAATCACGTCAAAACCGCTGAACGAATTCAGAAAAAGTTCGATAATACCACATAGGCTTTTTAACCCGGAAAAAATTATTGACAACATTTCACATGAGGGTATATCCGCTAAATCCCTCTATAGTCTATAGCCTGCTTAAAGACTTTGGATTGCTAAAAGCTTCAGTAAGTTCTTTTATTGAACGAATATCCAAAGCGGCATTGTTAGGATCAAAAACGGTTAGGTAGAGGACATAACGCAGCAGACAGTGGAGGTGAGCGCTGATGCATTTCAAAGAGTACTCCTGATTCGCAAGTTCCAGGCGCTGTCGCATGTGTTATCTATCACGCAATGGACCCGGCACCCGCATGGTGAATCCATGGAAGGATAAGAAATAGGTCTATGCAATGGTGAAACCGCGGAGAACTACTAGTAACGAAATAATGAAAACATAAATTCTGTGTTTTTCTGTTCCGGGTATCTACAAAACTTGAACTGAGTTTCAGGAAATTTGCGAATGAAGTAATTTAAGCTACTTTAATATTTGACAAATAATTATCATAATATTTGTCATCTATTCATCCCGTGGGTTTCGTAAGAGGCGACTAAGGGAACAAACTACGCAGAACAACAGCACTGCAAAGAGAAGGAAAACTTGAAACAAACCCTATACCAACCCGTCTGGCCAGCGTGGCCAAACCCTCCTTTCCGAGGAGTGGACTATGTCCAGCAGTGGACTAGTAATGGCTGTTGATGAATTATCATAATATAACTGCAACGGGCACAGCTAGTGTATAATATGTTTGTTATGTTTACCCTATAAATATATCCTATGAAGAGACCGCTGTATAATCAAGTGTTTAGTTCGAATCTAGATAAATTTATGTAATGTATTACTGTGTAAAATATACAATATTAATAAGGAAAACTGTTGTATTCGTATTTTAATACAATCAATTGCATATGCCTACTATTTTACTGCATTTAATATGAAATGATATATTTAGCTATTTGCTATATTTAGAATTACCGATATTATAAACGACTAGCACAGTTTATTGAACTCTGTGCCTGGTTATAAGAACAACTGGAAGGGCCATATTAATAATTAAACATAAACATTATTAGTGATGTTTTATACTCGTTGGCAGAAGGCTGACCAGAGTTCAATGTAGGTATATATTAGCGAATGTCAACTTTATCTAACAAGCGTGTATAGGCCGCGACAATATCATTATCTTCCGTATCATTACTACCCGTAAAAAAGCCACTTGTTACTAAGTGTGAGGTTGGCGGAGTCTATTTAGCAGAAGTGGATTTGGGCGTTATCGATACAAAGCTAACTTTTTACATCGCATATGGTTTTCTTTTAAAAAAGACAACTTCCGCATTAGAAATATATCTAGTGTCGCGGGGGACTATACAAACATATTTTTTTAATGGAATAGGAGGCAAACGGGTCACCTGATAGAAAGCGACTACCGCCGCCCATGAGCGCCTGAAACTCAGGAGTCACAAGCGCGTTGCCAGCCTTTGAGGAAGGAGTACGCTCTTTTCTTGAAGGTTGTATCGGTCCGGAAATACCCCAGCCGATAACTTGTTCCACAGATTGGTAGTACGAGGCAAAAAGTGTCTTGAAAAGCGTACAGTGATGAAGTGCCAATTATCTAAGTGGTGGCGATGTAAAATTTGCCGTGTGGCGGCCGTTTGCGGCCGGTATTAGTCCGAACAATTCCTCGGAGCCCTCTCCATGATATATACGATAGAGAATGCAGAGAGAAGCTACATCTCTACGTAAGGCCAAGGGATCGAGCCGGTCGCAAATCTTCCCATTCGTGTTGGACACCGTGTAGTTTTAGTCAGTTTGATACTGAAATACCATTTCTTTATGATATAAAGAGCAAACTTAATAGACAGTGACCGCTACCCAAGAACGCTAGCAACTCAGGAGTCACAAGCGCGTTGCCGACCAGTAAGATGGAAGTACGCTATTTTCTTGAAGGTCGTATCGATCCGGAAATACGTCAATTGGTTCCACAGATTGGTTGTTCGAGGCAAAAATTTCTTGAAAAGTGCACAGGTTAGGAACCGCAAAAGTCCGCACTATAAAAAAAAGCTTTTAATTATTTTGATGTTAGTATTTTATATTTGTGTTATCCCACAATGTCTCGTAAAACGAGACAAGTAACGAGTAAAGTAGCGAGTTTGGTTAAAAAATGAAAATCAAACATTTAGAAATATAAAATTCTAAAAATGACTAGTGAATGGAAAGCTATCGTCTCTGTTGTATAAAAGTGACATTCCTTTTTTTTAAATTTGTAAGGACAGCAAACAACATTTTTTTTTTTTAAAGACAACTCCCACACTAGGAATATAGGTATCCTGGGAAGCGGGGTACTATAAAAATATAACAAATACATACATAAAACGGACACAAATAATAACCAGACTCAGAATAAAAATTTGTGGATCACACAAAGTGTCGCATGTGGGGATCGAACCCACAACACTATCGGCGAGGTGACCGCTTAAACCACTACGCCACAGTAGAGCCTGCTAATGAATTTTTCCTTTACAATTGCAGGTCTAGTAAAAAGAAAAATGCTGGTACTAGATTTAGATGAAACACTCATCCATTCACACCACGACGCAATGTTACGTCCGACGGTGAAGCCCGGCACGCCGCCCGACTTCGTGCTCAAAGTCACGATAGACAAACACCCTGTAAGGTTCTTCGTGCATAAAAGGCCGCATGTTGATTACTTTCTGGATGTAGTAAGTACCTTATTAGTTCGTTTTTTTTTGTAATAACCACGAAAGTCTGATCCCAAACTAATCCTATACTATGGTAACCACTCTAGCCCCGGATCTAGGGAGGGGGGGGAGGCAAACCGCGACACCCGCCCCGGGCGGCATTTTCAGGGGGCGCCAACATCATGATACAGTATGATTAAAAATAAAAAACTTGAAAACGTGAACTTATATATTTGTGAGCTTTTTAAAGTAATTTATCTCAAACGCTGGAGAGAGGGGGCGCCACAATCAAATTTCTACCCCGGTTCGAAAAATCGTAGATCCGGGGCTGAACCAGTCTACTCATAAACTAATCACACATGACTGCACGGATGGCGTAGTGGTTTAAACGGTCGCCACGCCGCTTCCTACTACGCCGAGTGTTGTGGGTTCAAACCCCACATGGGACGACACTTTGAGTGATCCACAAATTGTTGTTCTGAGTCTGGGTGTTCTTTGTGTCCGTTTCATGTATGTTTGTAAAGTCCCCCGCGACACAGGATGTATTCCTAATGCGGGAGTTGTCTTTTTAAGAGGAAAAAGAAAAAGAATATTTGTCCTGGGTTTGAAGCAAACCCACGACCTCTAGCTTAGCAGTCAGAATCTTAACGACTACATCAACAGGCCCGACATATAGTTATAAACATTAGCGATTTGCCGGACATCCATAACCGTGTATCTTCGGCACGTGGAGACCAGCTCGACCGGAGTGATACCATGGCCTCACAGAAAACAGGCGTTAACCATTCTTTTATTGCTTTTCAATGAGCGAGTGGGATTATCGGAGGTCCAAACCTCCTCTCCCACTCCTATTATACATACATACACGCGAAAAAATCATCATCAACATCATCATCAACAGCCTATAACAGTCCACTGCTGGACATAGGCCTCTCCTTAGAAAGGAGGTTTTGGCCTACTATACCACGCTGGCTAGGCGGGTTGGTATAGGGTTTGTTTCAAGTTTTCCTTCTCTCTGCAGGCTGTTGTCCTGCGTAGTTTGCTCCCTTAGTCGCCTCTTACGACACCCACGGGATGAATAGGGGTGGTGACATTCCGTATTCTTAATCCGTCACGCGAAAAAATAACCTTCCTTATATCGCAGTCGGTTAAAAAGTAGGTACGTGATTAAATTGGAGCTTGTCTACACAAAAATTTGATCCTCTAATCCGTATACTGATTTGTATCCGTATCACTGTCAGTGAACTATGACTTTTAATGTGAATTCTTATCATTTTTTTATCTAAACGTTTTTATTTAGGTAGGTACTAGAATTTTTTGACATTCGAAATTTAAAATGAAAGTGTTCATAACCAGTAAATTGAAATGTCTTGTCACGCGTACGTGTCGTGTCGTTACCTAGTATTAATAATAATAAAAGTTTAATATGTAAACAATGAGATGTTTCCTAAGTATTCCTCAAACCACATGTGACGTGTGCTAGCCACATGTTCACATCACAAGCTAGTGTGAACTGTAAATTATATAATTGATTTAATTGAACTAAAAACGCTCTTATTCTTAGCCACAAAAAGACTTATTCACAATCCTCAGTATCGAGAGACCACTGCTGTACTTTCGTATACTCGGAGCGGCACTTAAAGAACACTTAACCCATACATAATCATTTATAAATAACTCTTTATAAAACCGGCCTTATCCAGTAAGCAAATTTTTATAACCCTCTCACGGTCCTTTGATCTCAAACTAGGCAGTCTATAGTGTTGTTAATTACTCAATAGGTATATATTATAGACTCGCGATCCGCGCCGGCTTCGCACGGGTGCAATGTAGATACTACTGGTGGTGTCACTGTGAAGTGATTAATTATATTACTATGATATCACTATACTACAGGACGGCTTAAAATGCCGCTGCAATCCGCGACGGACGTACGGCCTGAAGCGGCGACGGCCGCTTTGCCGCCGCATTTTAAACCTCTAATTTCTTCTAAAATATTAATTTTAATGATATGCTGTAAAGAGCAATAGCAATCCACATTAAATGCACAACTTTTCTAACGTATTTAATCGGAAAAGGAATAATATTGTATTGTTTAAAATAGCTTTGTAACGCCCATTTATTTATTTTTAATATTTAAAGGATAAAAATGGTTACTGTAGGATCCTTAGGAGATAGACATACACCATCGCGGACTATTTTGTAGATCTTAATAAGATATACAATTCCGTATTACATTATTTTGGTCTATCTCCTAAGGATTAGCCAGCGTTTGTTATCTTTGAAATTCTCGAATCTTCTCTACTATTATATGCATGTATTATACAACAAACCTTCCCCTTGAATCACTCTCTCTTTTGATGAAAACCACATTAAAATCCCTTTGCTTAGTTTAAAAGATCTAAGCGTACAACAAAAAAAAAGCAACTTTATTTCATACTATGTAAAGATAAATTACACCCAGACACAAAACAAATGATCGTGCTCAACACACAATATTTGTCCTGAGTGGGAATCGGCCTCTGTCTTAGCTGTGACTAGCCCAACAGGCCCCTCAGAAGGCCGAGTGGAGATACCGGTAAGTAATATCGTATTGTCAGCTTCTCTTATTGCCACAGTAACAGCCCCCCTGTTAAAGCGTGGCGATTATCAGCAACAACCGCTAAATAGCATTTATGTCTCTCACAACTAATCTGTGGATCAAGTTATCGTCTGCGGACCGATACGACCTTCAAGAAAAAAGCGTGCTCCTTCCTAAAAGGCCGTAACTTTCCATCAGGTGACCCGTCTGCTCGTCTGCCCCTCTTCATTAAATAAAAAAAAGAAATTATTGGCGACAAATGGAACTAAAAAGAATTGGTTGCTAACACAAAACCGCTCTATTGAGTAATTTCTGTGTTAAAACTACGATTACGTTCATTGGCAATTTCCTGATTATTTCCACCTATCTTTAATGTCAGCTGATGAGTTTCTTTGATAAGCGGTCGTCGGAAGCGAGCTTTGATAAGTTATTTGTCGAGTCATGCCGTGTCATTGTTTTCTTTTAACCGAATTGAAAATAAGTTTATCAATGTATGTTATATTATTATCCTAGTGCTTCATAATTATTGTTATTAATAATAATCCCCCAAGCCAGGCAGTGCCTGAACTATGGCAACCAGACTGTTGCTAAATAGACTTAAATATTTCTAAATACATACATATTATTGATAAATAACACCCAGACACGGAACAAACGATCGTGCTCATCACACAATATTTGTCTTGGATGGGAATCGAACACATGACTTTTGGCTTAACAGTTTACCCGTTTACCTCTAATATAGGGTCTCAGAATATAATAATAATATTTAAATATTTGTTTTAGGTTTCACAATGGTATGAGCTGGTAGTGTTTACGGCATCAATGGAGATATATGGTGCAGCAGTAGCGGATAAACTGGACAATGGCAGAGGTATACTGCGGCGGAGATTTTACAGGTAGCACAAAAACTTGCACACATTTTTTTTTTTAAATTAGTGTATTGTCATCGGTCCTCGATATATCTACAAAGTTTGAACGAATTCTGACCGTTTAAAGTCAGTCAAAATCATGCCCAAAGGAGTCGGTTACAAACATACAAACAAACATACAAGTGAAGCGTAAAAAAGCGTGTAAAAAGAGAAAATAAACACACTCGGACCTGTTTAGGGTCTCCGCTGAAAACCAGCGCTGTCTCGCTTACCAGATGTCATATTGTTTTAGCACCAATTCTGAGCCGTCGCCAGTTTTTGGCCAGGTGGGGCTACAACTGGCGTCTAGCCAGTAATTAAAATTAGCATAGCTTTAGTCTTAAAATCACTTCTTATACGCTCCGGAAATAAATATTTTGTGTGATTATACCCCCGAACGGTGGGCAGATGCTCGTTATAAAACCGATGGTGAGAATGATGGTGCGTTTAATTGTTCACAGACAACATTGCACAGCAGAAAACGGTTCCTATACTAAAAACTTGTCGTCTATATGCGACGACCTTAATAGAGTGTTCATATTGGACAACTCACCCGGTGCGTACCGGGACTTTCCAGGTAAGGCAGATTCAGATTGTTTATTTGCATAACACAGGTATTAATTACATGGTATTCATTCACAACAGGTTCACTGTGCTTTACCACTATGGGTGTGCAAATTGTACATTTATAATTGCATATAATTTAAACATAACTTAAAATAACCTATCTATAGGTATATTATTAGCATCATTGATTACAATAATAAGATTGTGATACATACAATGTCAATATTCAAAGTCAAACTATAGTCAAAATAATCAATTAATGTCAGGAAGAAAAAACATAATTACAAAAAAATAAAAAAAAAACTACAAATTGATAGAGATAAAGTCCAATACATTATAATAACATTTTTTAATGTTATACAGGTTATACAGGCACTATTTGTTATACAGGTTAAATAAATGAACACTTACAATCTATTGTGATTGCGTCAGAACATCCACAGGAATAACTAGAATGTTAATAACAAAGCTGTTAGCCACCTTAGTTGCTTCGTCGCGTTCTCAACATAGCGGTAACCATCGGTTTTCCCAGGAGTTGGGTACAAACTCAAACTTACTTTATTTCAAAAAAATTCCAAAATTGTTTGAAATCGTCTTCCATGTAGACTCTAAAGTCATAGATCAACACACACAAAAGCAACAATCTCTGTTATCTCAAATAGTAACCAAATAAATTTAACAAAAATCAAACCCATTCAAAAACTATGATATGCCTGTGCCGATCTACAACCGCCCGTTTCCAAGGGGTTGAGCCTTATGAGAAGAAAGGGCAAACAAACTCATGGCCTATGGTACTTCACTAGTGTTACAGAAAGAGAATCTGCTGGAAAGAATATATTTAGGAGTTTGAGGTCATTGTGGATATTAATACACAGAAATTTCTCAACAACAAAAGTAGTTGCTATGAAGAGTTAACATATAAAAGGGGCATTCCTTTCTTTTATCTATACATAGAAATAAAATACTGCTCTGACAAACTGATTCATAAACCAGTCCCAGTCCCAGCCTAACTGCTGGCTGGCTTAACTTGAAAATTTTCCAGCTGATGGTTTTTATGTTGTAAAAGAAGGATTTTAAGAAAAACGTTAAAAAAAAAAAGGGGATTAACGATTACATAATTTAAATTATTATTTCTTCTAAATCTTAGTGTATAATTTTCACAAAATTAAATTGTTCAATAATAATAAATATAATGTGTCCATTTCCAGATAACGCGATACCAATAAAATCATGGTTCTCTGACCCGTTGGACGTGGCGCTACTAAACCTGCTGCCCGTGCTGGACGCGCTACGCTTCACGCACGACGTGCGCTCAGTGCTGTCGCGCAACCTGCACCTGCACCGCCTGTAGTAGCTAATAAACTGGTATGTCTCTCTCTCTCTCTCTCTCTCTCTCTCTCTCTCTCTCTCTCTCTCTCTCTCTCTCTCTCTCTCTCTCTCTCTCTCTCTCTCTCTCTCTCTCTCTCTCTCTCTCTCTCTCTCTCTCTCTCTCTCTCTCTCTCTCTCTTTCTCTCTCTCTTGTTACAAGGTTCACGCACGAGACTCATATTGTCACGCCTCGCACAAGAAGGTCAAGTCTCGTAAAAAAAATCCGATCAAAATTAAGTGCCGATCTACTCTCGACGATCTCACAAATATCATAAAAGAAATTCTCGTAGTATATTAGTAGTATTAAACATCTAACGTTGACTGTTATCGAATTATCTTATAGTTGAATCGTATTGTGACCGAAAGTAAAAAAATGAGAATCGGTATTCTACTAGTCTTAATAAGTGATACCTTGAATGCGAATGAAACGTAATTCGTATTCTCTTCACCATCTCTGTTTATACGTAAAGTTTGACATTCCTATGAGATTGAATGTTGATAAACAGTAAACTGCTGGAAAGTATTTTTATAAGCAGAATACCTATTTTCAGTGAACCAATAATTCAGTCTCAATTTAATCAGTTTTCGTTCTGTGATGTTTTAAGATTACGAGAATTGGCCTTCAGTTCCACATGTAGTAGTTGATACACTGCCAATCGTAAGATCACGCACATTGCTAATGTTGTCACGCAACATATACCTACCCCTCCCTACTGTAGCTAATAACGCTACGTATAATTCCTATCATATACTTCCGTGTGGTGACGGATTAAGAATACGGAGCGTCACCACCCCTATTCATCCCGTGGGTGTCGTAGGAGACGACTAAGGGAGCAAACTACGCAGGACAACAGCACTGCAAAAAAAAAAAGAAAACTTGACACAAACCCTATAACAACCCGTCTGGATAGCGTGGTATAGTAGGCCAAAACCTCCTTTCTAAGGAGAGGTTTATGTCCAGCAGTGGACTGTTAAAGGCTGTTGATGATGATGATGATGACCGTGTCTTAGAGTGTAGTATAAATCCTTCTACTTCTATCAAGACTATTAATAATTTGTTAGATTATGGTGTTGATGGTGTAAAATTTAAGTCTGTAATATATTATTTTTTCAATTTCACGAACGTAACGAATTTTTTTTTTATTGATTTCAGATTAGGAAAAAACGGCTTTTGTACAAAATGTGGAAGCTACAGGCCTCCTGAACTTATTTATTATTTTTTCACTCGTTAGGTGGTTCAGCTTCTATTCATATAGATTTAACATAGTTGAATTTTTTTTTAAGTTTGTTTTACGTAAATAAAAGTGATTATCTGAGGATAATGTACACACATATGTGTATGTTTGTTAGTTACCTACGTGAGTAGGGCGGAAGCGTTTTAAAAACGCAGTTTTTGTGTTATGTAAAATAGGTAAGTGCAAGAATGAAATGGGTGGGGCCTCACTGCGAGCTACGGACACGCGTTTTTAATGGAGCTCGGTGTCAGTGTCTCACCTTGTTTTATATGTGTTCAAATCTTCTCGAAACTTCAACAAAATTGTTCTGTTTAAAGGAGTTTTAAAATTGTAAAATCAAGTATTTTGTATTGTTCATCATCTATTGAGTTTTCCATGACATGTCTGATGTTATACATTGTTTAGTCTCTCTTTACGTCCCAAATAATTTAGCGAAATATTTGTGTATTTATTTTATGATGTGTTCATTTTGGTAAAGACATATTCAGAGTATATTATTTACAATCTACACGTAACAGAAAATGTGTGAGAATGTCCTTCTTTTATAGGTATTTTTCATAGCCAATTTATCATCAGTGCAGTACCACTTTCCTGACAGCAAGTCTCATAATAGTCTTATTCTCTAGCTCACAGTGAGACCACATTTGGTTGTTGTGTGATATCCCTTTCGCTATCACAGCGAAAGAGCGAGATACCAACACACATTTAACATTGTTGCATTAGGGCTGTCTCGAAATCTGGTCAATTTTTTTTTATATCTAGAATATTAATTATTATATTCATGGGTATTCATTTATGATACTTAGGTCCAGTTGTTAAAATTTATGATAAAAAAAAAATTGTGTTGTGAGTTTTGATAGCAAAATTTTAGTATATCCCTTATTGGATATCTATCTGTATTTGTTGTTTGTGAAACTCTAATGTTGTCTATGGAAAGTAAAATTAGACTAAATATTGTTAAAAATTCATTTCAAAATAAATTTGTTTCAAGACAGCCCTGTACTCAATCATATCCTTCTTTAGAATTATTTGCTAGGTGCTCGTAGAGATGGCTGTAACGGCGACACGAATTAATGTTAATATATACAAAATATGTTGTATGTCCTACGATTGCAATATTAAATATGGTTTCGGCTCAATAATCCTTTTTTTTTAAATAACCAATAGATTCTTAATGCTGTCTCAAAATACTTATGTTCCATAGACAAGACGGCGGGTTATTTTGTTACCTGGATACGACTCAAAATAGTGTTGACTTGAATACTTACTTATAGGCGTGTGTGTTATTGGATATTTCGAAAAAGGGTTGTTCAGGCCGCTACCCGAATAATACCAGTGATAAGGGCATCAAATAAAATGGTACTTAATAACAAGAAACATAAAGTGTATTTTTTACTACCACGTCATAGCCATATCTAAGAGTCGCCCATCTTTATGCCCACCAAAATCAGAACTTGCAATTGTCAATATTCTATTTAATTCTCGTCGCCTCACTTTTGTATAAATTAAATACTGAATTTGTAGTTTTCGCAATAAAATTTTTACATTGGCAACACTGCTTTCAGGCAGGTATCACAATTATTTTTAAAATAGAAAACAGTTCTTAATGCGTTTTTTTTTGCTGCCAATCAAAAGTGGGGGGAATGCTCAACCAGGACTTATTGATTATCTGTACCTATATTTTAATAAAAGCTAACATTAATTTAAAGACCAAAACTTGTGAATTTCCATAATTGGTTTAAAAGATATAGTATATAAATTACTTAACAAAGAAATGCAATTATCACTAAGTAAACATCCCTAATTCTTCTGACTTTAACTATGTGTTTAACATTCTTCTTAAAATCGCTTGACATTCCAAATCCCTTATTATATTCCACTCTTCCACTCCATCCAAGAGTATTGACATACATTCAAAACAAACACTTCGAGGTAATGAGTCAGAATCGGCGTTCAAAGACACAAGTTTTTATATCTAATACCCATATTGTTTGTACGTATACTTGGAGGCATGTGTGTAAAAAAAAAAAGATTTCGAATGGGCCGGCTCGACCGGAGTGACGTCACGACCTCACAGGAAACTGGTGTTTAACCATTAATTCGTTTATTTTGGAGTCAGTGTGTTTTGAATTATAACGATCTGCAACCGCTGCACTTCTTAAAAGATGCAAGAAAATCACAGAGATCTTTTACGGACACGGATGGCGTAGTGGTTTAAGCGGTCGCCACGCCACTTTCTACTTCGCTGAGTGTTGTGGGTTCGATCCCCACATGGAACATCACTTTTGTTGTTCTGAGTCTGGGTGTTCTTGTTCATGTATGTTTGTAAAGTCCCCCGCGACACAGAATACACATTCCTAATACAGGAATATATATATTATCTGCAGTTTAACCCATTTTTAATAATACAGTGAAAATGTATTACAAAATTTTAAAATTGCCGTAGCTGAGGTATTATTTTGCTACCATTACTACGCTACTTTTAATTCATGATAGCAACTGTCAGTCTGATCTGAAGACTGAAAATATAAAATTGTAGTCTTGTATGTATCTACTACATGTACGCAATTTTGCTGGATGATAGATCTTTTTGATGATATATCTGTACATTATTTGTGCATAAATTGTAATTAAATAAATGAAAATTAGGGCAAATTTTAGTGTTCAACTTTAGACGAGTGTAGAAATTGTATTTTTGTATGTGTATTAGACAACTCGTCGCATTTTATATTTTACAAAAAATATCATGAAGTGTTGATCATGTTTTCTTTTTTGTAATTAAATAATTGGTTATGTGCTTATCTAGAATTTCATGAGTTTGATATTTATTTCGATTTTACAGTAAATTCTATAGGAGTTTTTAAATTCTTTGTAATATGTCCCCGCTTATGTCCAAGAACACTTTTATTTTTTGTGCTGAAATCCCCTCAGATACCACCAGGTTACCCTAGAAATCCCTGGTACCCATCTCCGAGAACACTAAACCTCACTAAATCACTATACACAGCTTCGCTTAAATAGAATACGAAAACGAAAGTGTCATTAAAAATTCAAGATTTTAAAGTTTTTAGCAATAAAAAATTATTCCGTTCAAGTTTTTGCTAAACCTATCTGCTTGCTCTATGATATATATACATCATTATGTGTATGTTGTTTTATAATTTAAAATTTGGTACAGGTAATCACACGCCCTGCCAGTGGACAAATATGTGTAAATATATGTTTCTTTAACGGGCAGTGTGATTTGCCCATTTTTGAACACGCCACGTGATCTCTTAGTTTTAGTTGTACCCAACATCTTGGAAGATCGTTCATAAACGCCGAGTTCAGTTTCATGTAGATTTCAACCAAACAATATTGTATTTATTTACGTCCAGGATTCTTGTAAATTAACATTAATAACCACTTTTATATATATTTAAAAATCGGCAAATCACTAAGGTGCGTTCACACTGAGGTGGTTGCACTCGGTTCCTCATGCAGTGTGAAGCAGCCTAATCTTTTTAAGTCACACGCGCTGTGAGCCTCTCTTAATGACAATAGGGTAGTGTACGTTACATAAACTATCTGGTACAAATATATGCCGAATCAATAACGATTGGTTTCTGCTGCTTATAAACATTTTTAAGAATAGATAAATTCTTATTATGAAAATATATTGTTATTAAAAAAGAAACGTAATTCGAATTTTGAAATTTAAAAAGAAAACCCTTATACTTTAAAAATTGTTTATAGCCAGCAGAAAGTT